TATTTTGATAGTTGATTTTTCTCGCTTCACGGACGTTGTAAAGGGGGGGGGGGGTCGTACTTGGTCATTGTTTTGGGGGGGGGGTCGTATTTACGTTTTGGCGTTGTAGGAGTGGTGGTTGACTTTTGGTGATTTTCCTGTTTCATGCGTACTATATGCCCCCCCCCTCGCCCCTCCCCCCCCCCCCCCCTCGACAGCAAAATTTTTGGGGAAAAGTAGGGAACTTTTCGGGAAATTTTGGAAAAAGTGGCAGGAAGTTGGGGAAAATCTGAAAATTGGTAGAGGGGGTCGTATTGTCTCGCGACTTTTCCTGTTTCACATGTGCTATTTACCCTCCCCCCCCCAAAAAGCCACTCAAACCGGCGGCGCTGCGTTGGTGGATTCTCCCTGTGTCTCTCTCGTGAGTTAACCAGCTAGAAAATGCTCTGATAGTGCAAGCCTATCACGACTTGAGACTGACGCTGCACTGCACGGATGAGGGGGTTCCTTTCCAGCCGCAGTGAACAAGGCGTTGCAAGCGGGAGGCTCATGCGGCATCCGCACCAAACCCCAACTAATTTATCAGGGACACTGTGCTTCGACTCTTATCTCCCAGGTCATGCGGTGCAGCTACTGGTTAGTGCCCTACACGCGACGACGTACACCCAAAGTGAAGTGAACCTGAAGTGCACAGGTTAACAAGTTCTAATAAGCAAAGAGCGGTGATAGGGTACAACAAAGGACGCGTCGTTAGTGAACTGTACCCCCAGGACATTTTTCGCTTCGCAAGTGGTTCATAAGATCTTCGTTTGTGTATAGTGAATGCTTCTTCACCCTCAAGCAAAGTATTAGGATATAATCAACGAATAGAAGAACTTTTGTCTCCGCCTTCTCTCTAACCGGTTCGAGTTCTCTAAACGTGGACGGGCAACTGTAAAAGAACAACAATATGATAGCAGACTAGAGACCACAGCCTTCAATATTAGAATCTCACCATTTCATTCCTTCCCCATTTGCTGGGACGCCATTCGGTAGTGCTGCATTCAGAAAATCCTGTCGGAAGCCAGGCAACGATATTCTTTCTCAAATTACACTGCTGCATTATCATCATTGGTGGAGTGCTGAGAGAACCTTACCTAGTGCTTGTCCCTTGAACAAGTGTCATACGATGAATGAAGTTGATGCTTAAGAGTGCAAGAAGAACGAAACATCAGGATGTCAACCGTGTGGCAACGAAAAGTCATGCCACCCTGCAAATCCAGCATCGGCGCAGTCTTGTTCTGCTGAGTGCAAGTGGGTTCTAAGTTTGACCATGATTTTTTTTCGATCTCAACAACCGCTGAAGACCACTGAGACAGATATACCAGGCCTACTGGGACGTCGCCTCGCCAAATCCAGCGCGCAGATACGCCACAGCGTGCACAGTGAACACAACTGTACGTCTCTGTGTGTCTTGCAGTCATCGCCTGGCGTAAACGCGGACCCTTTTTTCCTTCAGATATGTTTGGTAACACTAGTCAGCCAAGGAGAGCTGATTTTCAACAGAGGGAGTAGTTTGATATGGTCCTTTGAAAGAACGCAGAGGACGGTTTAGAATAAGACGTCGGTCATAATCGTTTTCAATTTGAGAAACAGTTTTTTCCCCCAGCTGATCTTTTACGCGGCAATTGACCTTTTGCAACTGCCTCAGAACATCAACATCTGGATTAGTCATAACAGTGCCTGTCACGTTGAAGGGAAAGTCCGCGAATGCAGGCCGTGACTAGTGGGGCTAGCATACGGGCTGCTGAGCTGGTCGAAAAACTTGATGGATATTTTTGGATTCGGAAACTTTTGATACCCGTGGTGTTTTATAAGAATCCGGACACAGACCTGCCGGATTACAGACGAAGAATGAAAGCAGAAAAATATGCGATGCGATATTTCACACGTTTCCCATCATCTACAGGTGGTGTAGTGACAAGTGGCGCGCTTACCACTCGCGCGGTCCTGGGTTCGAATCCCAGGTCGACACCCGCCCAGGCCAACCAAGCCTTCTACCCTCCGGGGACGGTAAATTGGTACCAGATTCGTCTGGGAGGATAAAACACTGACTTGTACATCGGCTGGCCCCCGCAAGTCATTGTATAGGCCACATCGCATTCAATAAGCCACTACGATTCTGAATGGAAGTAGAATGCGTGCCGCATCCCACAAAGGGATTGATTAACGGCGAAGACTTTATCCTTTTATCCTTTATTCTCCTCTGAGAGCAGTCGACCAGCCTGCCTTGTTGGTTGCCCTGGCAAATGCTCTGGCTGCTCTCCACTATGACACTCTCACTTTCAGAGTCAAAATACCCCGCCACCCTCTTTATCGGGAAATTCGCATTTGAAGCTGACCTGCGCAGCAGCCGACACAGAAGACGATAGTCATAGCACTACTGTAATTGATAACGCAAAATTAGAAGGCGCCCCCACACTGAGCAATTTATTTGCGGCAGTTTCATGCTTTCATAGTTTCGTGGTTCCATTCATGTGAAAGTTCTGATTTCATTCCTCCTTCATCAGCAATCACTTTTTTGTCAACCAGTGGGAAACGGACAAATCATTTTCCGCATTCTGTGTAAAAAAACAACATAATTTTTATGTTTCATAACTGAAAATGGTTACTGTTTCAGGCCCGCGTGCGTCTGCATTAACGGCTACGTGAGAGGACCATCTGGTCAATGCATCCAGCAGAGTGATTGTCCAAAACAGTAGTTTCCCAAACGATGTTTCGTTGAACTACAGCCTCAATGATCAGAAACTGATATGGAGCCGTGCTCCCATTACGTGGTGTTTCTAGAATCGTCGATTTTCCCGTGTCTCTGAAATCTACCTGTTAAAATTGTGGTCACAAAAATACAGATTCGCATTTCTTTCAAGATACAAATTATTGTTGTCTTGCAATGAAAGAAGATAAAAAAATACTGAAAATTGTGAATCGACCTGGAAATCGTGATAGCGCTGCTCAACACATCGGCCAACTTAAATTTAGCATTCAAATCAAACTGCGGCACTATAGAAAGTTTCATTAATTCTCACACGGCCATCTTACAAAATGGAAAGGCCCGCAGTGCGGTCAATGCAGCAACGTTGCTAGCATGCAACAGCTAACTGTCTGGCCCCCTCGTACTCTCTCGACACATCTGCGGTCGGGCCGACCGATACCTTTCCTTAAAAAAAACGTAGGCGTAGTACGGATTGGTGCAGGTACCTCGGATCGCATCAATTACCGCCGATGTCTTGCGTGGAAACCTATGAATTTGTGTAAAGTTATGCAATAGCACTAGGTTCGTTCGCATTACGTTCACAAGAATCTACAGGACCCACCGAAATGACATCTGTTGTTTCACCGAAATGAGATATGTGTAGTCTAACAGGCATTAGTAGGAGAGACCAAAGATGGTGCAGTTTCCCCACGTAAGCCGAATAGTGCCGACACACACGAGGAGTGTAGTAAAATGCTGCTATCTCTGATTTTCACCCCATATAAATTTGAGTGGCGTATTCAAAGCTCTGGACTTGTTGAATACCTTCCTTGGCGCCTTCGGTATGGTGGTCAGGCCTTGAATTACAGTTCTTACGCATATAGCAGCAACAGCACACGTTGAGATACATTGAGATCATTGCATACCAACGATTAGAAAATAATGGAAGTGGTAGGTACATAGCATGAAACTAGAGATAAATGCAAAAGACGAGCTACATGGCATCCTGATCAGTGGAAAATCATCGTACTACCATATTCCTTGAATGCAGCGTGAGTCACCTTATGCTCCAGTGGCCCCGCAGATAGGCGCATCTCCCTTTCATTGCCCATATGTTCAAATCTCGATATATCTCAATGCTTGTTGTAGCTGTGCTCAGGAAATGTAATTTGAGAGCCGACCAAGGCATTATGCTGATAGTTCGCCAACAAAGGTGTCAAACAAGCCAAGAGCTTTGAACACCCATTCAGAATCATACGAGGAGTGTTGAAAATTTGAAATCGTTCGCTAGTGTGAAGTGATTTATGATTTATTATCGGCATACTATTGACAGTGGCACACATAAAAAAGGAAACAGAAAAAAATCTCCGATAATCAACATAGAACTCAGTGGGAAGACAGAATAAAGTGCTGCGGTGTAGAGGGGGTAATCAGGGCAGAAGGGCAGTGGCCGCCAACACTGCAAGTCCATCCACGCATCAAATAGGACTCCGGATACCAGCTTAGTAGGTCCGCCAACTTTACTGAGACCCAGCTCCAACAGCCGCAAGCAAGGATTAGCAATGGGGTGCAACTAGGTAAGAAATATACATCTTGATCGTAACACAAAACACATTCAATCTAAGGCGACTTAACACACAGCTAGGAATACAAAAATCACTTAATCGCCACTCAGCCTTTCAAAGTGTAATAATTTAGTTTCTGTTCTCAGAACCACCCTTGTGAAATCATAACTTTTCTCACTTTGCTCCTAAACGACTTAGGAGAACTCGAATTTATAGTACTGGTTGGCAAACTATTCCAAAAACTGATAATCCGTTGAGTAAAAGAATTGCGGTACTCTGTTGACTTTATTTTATCTCTTATGAGCTTATATCGGTGACCTCTGGTGCGCCCAATCGTTGAAGATCTTTTGAAAAGGACATCAAAGTCTAAGTCTACCAACTTAGCGGAAATTTTGAAAGTAAGCTCGTAATCACTCAACTTTCTTCTCATTTCAAGTGAATCCTCCTTCAAGTACTTCAGTCTATCTCTATATGATACATGGAACATACCCTCACGAGCGAAAATGCGTTCAGTGAATTTAGACTGAACACCCTCGACCATTTCAACTTGGGAGCGCGTATAGGGGCTCCACAGCATAGGGCAATACTCGAGCGTAGGGCGCACATACGCTACAAAAAGCTTAAACAAGGTTTTTATGCTTCTGGAAGAGAATGCGCGCAGAATGAAGTTTGCCTTGCAATGGGCTGAATGCACCACTTTCTTAATGTATTCGCTGAATGACAGCGTACGAGTATAAGTGATACCTAAATCAGTAAAAGCTTCTGGTTCTTTTAGCTCAATACCATCAATCACAAATTTGGGTGCAGAAGGGTAGGAAACACCCAACAATCGTTTTATCAAGAGAGATTGCGAGCCCCCATTTCCTAGACCACAACGATATTGCATCAAGAGCTGCTTGCAGCAGGGAGGGTTGGTTCATGCAGTATAATTTGACATCATCCGCATACATCGTGCAATTTATACCAGGTGGAAGGCCCTCAGGCAGATCGTTCATGTACATGATGAACAAGCGACAAGAGCCTTGGAGAATGCCGTGTTCTCGCAACTACTCAATAAGTACAGGTTTGAAATTTCTCCTTTTTTGCCATCTTCGATGATATTCGGTGTGGAAATGTGCGATGAAATGACTCCTGAGCCACGAAGTTACGTACCCATGCACTCATTTGTGATAACTGGTTCAGCTGCCTAAAGGAAGATACTTTCGCTTGTAGTTTTCAACATGTTATGTGCTCTGCTTTCAGCATATGTTGCAGTATACAACATGACAGAAAGGTATGGAATACATCGCCTTCAATCGAAGATTTTTGCCTGAGCGACTGTTGACCTAGTTTCTGCACTGTGTCGGACCACTGTCTCCTTGGGGCTAGGTTCCGCTTTTCGATGCTAGGAGAGGAAGCCTCAGAATCAGGAAGCGAGGTATTAAGACTGTCATCAACTGCAACCATACTGCTTCTCTTACTGGGCTCCAAGATAATTCCTTTGTCGAGAACATGGACGAGGAATGCGAACGGCTTGTTGAAGAATTTCACGACTGCGGCAAGAAGCTAGAAAATTCCAGGGTCACAAAGAAGCAGTTATCTCTGGAAACTCTCGGGCTGATCTGCTAGCGTGAGGCCGCACGAGCTAGATAATCAAGGTGCAGCATCGCGATGTGTGAGGTGGTGGTGTAGGTATTACTCTCCCTCCGAAAGAGGGTGTCAGTACGACCCCCCCCCACCTGAATCTCGGTACGACCTCTCCTATCCCCAACACCTCCAAGTTCCCGCATTTCCCAGTCCAGTTTTTTACTCGAAAATTCGGGAGAGGGGGAGGGGTATATAGTGCACATGAAACAGGAAAAATCACGCAAAAAGTCAACAACCGGAAAACCAACGCGACAAATTTCTCTCAAAGGCACATACGACCCCCCTCTCTCCCAACGACCAAATACGACCCCCCCTCCCCAGAGAAAAAGTGCGATCCCCATGTGTTTCACACGACGATGCTGTACCCTGTGGGCTATTACCAATCGACGTCTGAGCTTGCGAGGCTATGCAGAGGAGCGATAAAAGAAGATCCTCAAGAAGAGAAGAGCAGCAGTATTGGTGGAAGCCGCAGAGGCTGGGAAGAGCATACGCAACGCCCGCCGCGACTTCGCCAACTGTAAGTAGGACCAAGATGACCGCTCTCTGACGTCTGGACGGAGGAACACCCCCTCCCGGAGGGCAATTTAAAGTATAATCCACAACTCACTCCGATCTCTTTGACGGCCATGTCTACCTGCCATAGCACAGCTTCGGCAGGATACGTCGCCCCATCAGTTCTCCCTTCTGGAGTACGACACGCCATCTAGGTTGTAGGGAAAGTTCTCAGCGTTTTGTGTTACTATTTTTTGTACATTCATTGCTGATTAAAAACTCATTCTCCTTGCGTCTCAGTAGTACATCCTGAAGAGAATTCTTTGCGCTATCTGATGGTATAATTGCCGTTTTACCATCCTACTATATATAATCCGCTAAGTGTGTCTGTGTGTGTGTCTGTGTGTGTGTGTGTGTGTCACGAAATTCATAACACCTGTCCCAGTAGCAGAGAAGCGTTGATTCCAGGAAGTGATGGAGGGGGTGTGACGGGAACACCATTGGTGGGTGACAGGATGTGATATCAGTTGATAAGATTCGATAAGAGGCGTCCAAAGGGGATGGTCACCCAGTCCATAGTGCGGGCCACAGCAGCAGTGGGACGTTGGTTCCGAGCAGTGAAATAGGGGGTGGGACGAAAACATTATTGGTAGGTGACAGGATGTGATATCAGCTGATAAGATCTGATAATGGGCATTAGAAGGGAAGGACTACCAAATTCGTAGTGCAGGTCACAGGAACAGTGGGTCCTTGGATCCGAGAGGTGATATAGGGTGTGGGACGGGAACATTATTGGCGGGCGACAGAAAGTGATAACAGTTGATAAGATACGATAAGCGGCCTCGGAAGGGGAGGGTCATCAAATTCGTAACGCAGGTTACAGCAACAGTGGGACCTCGGATCCGACGATATAGGGTGATATGATAGTGATACGGGACGGGAATATTATTGGCGGGTACGGAAGTGATAGGAGCTAAAAGTGACAAGGTAACATGGGAAAATCCGCTTCACCGCTCACAACAACAATGCGATCGATATGACTCAAGTATAACGATCTCAATGATTCCAACAGAACTCATTCCTCACTGCTTATTAGTAACGACATCATGTACGACCGCTAAGCTAGCTCTATTCCAAATGCATGGGGTTTGTTTACAGAGATGTTATGAACAGCAGCAATTGACTTAATCACTCTTACCACAATTATCTTCCATCAACAACCTTAGTGAGGGCCATTTAAAGGGTTCCACTGCTGAATGCGGGAGTGCATTCCAAAGCAAGACGCTTTAGGAGGACAGAATGCATAAATCATAGGCTGCTTCAGCGGCTATCCTAACAGGCTGCACTATTCCCGTGTAGGTTATGAACGTACCAGTCGGATCGCTGGCTAAGGCCGGCTCTCCTCCTTCTGTGATGCGGGGGCGCTGCTGCTGCTCTTGACGGAACGAAGCGCTGCTTTTCAGTTCTTGGCTGATGCAGAAGATTCCTTTGAACAGTGTGGTTGGTCAACGATCCTTAACTTAGCACGCGGCAAATCCGCATGGCCCGGCTTCGCCGGGCCATGTCACAGAAGGAGGAGCGCCCGGCGACAGCCGGGCGATCCGACTGGTTGCTTGATAAACCCCCTTTTCCCAAGACTTTTTGAAGCATGTCAAAAGAGCAACTTCGGACGATATTTTTCTTCAACTAAAAATTGGGTCAATCCGCAGTCGAGACAGCTCGACAAATTAACCAGGTGTGGGGGCCCAATAGTGTTGGAGAAAGCACCGTGCGACAATGGTTCGACAAATTTCGTTTTGGAGATTTCAGCCTTGAAGATGAACCTCTTAGCGGTACGACCTAAAGCAATAATTAACGAGGAATTGAAGGCGTTTGTGATCTCTTGACTGTTTGTGGGGCTGACCCATCCCAAGCAGTTCGAGAGATTGCAGAAAAGCTAGGCGTTGGCAAATCCACTGTTGCGGATGGTCTGAAACGCATTGGGAAGGTGAAAAAACTCGACAAGTGGGTGCCCCACAATTTGAGTGACCGGCAGAAATTGGCACGTCTCGAGGTTTCTTCTTCACTGCTTTTGCGCAACAGAAACGACCCGTTTTGGACCGAATTGTCACCTGTGATGAAAAGTGGATCATGTATGATAACAGGAGACGTTCCGGACAGTGGTTGGATGCCGACGAACCACCGAGGTAATTTTCAAAGCCGAATCCTCACGAAAAAAAGATTACAGTGTGGTGGTCATCGGCTGGTGTGATCCACTATAACTTTTTATCACCAGGCCAAACCATCACAGCAGAGTCCTACTGTGAAGAAATCGACGAAATGTACCGAAAATTGCGTCAGCTGCAGCCAGCACTTGTCAACAGAAAGGGTCCGATTCTTTTGCATGACAACGCCCGCCCACACGTTTCACAAATCACTATCCATAAATTGAACGAATTGGGGTTGAAGTTCTACCTCACCCGCCATATTCTCCAGACCTTTCACCAACCGACTATCACCTTTTCAAACATTTTCAGAACTTCCTTGCTGGAAAATACTTCATCAATCAGGACCAGGCAAAAAAGCCTTCGTGGATGGATTCTCGACCACCCAATTTTTTCTTGAATGGGATTTATCGACTGGTGTCATTTGGCAAAAGTGTGCTGATTCGAACGGTGCTTATTCAATGAGAATATCATAAAAAATATCTTCTTCTTCTTCTTCTTCCTAACGTTGTCCCGCTGGTACAGGGTCCGTTCGCCACTTTGCTCGATCTAGTGCATCCTCTCTGCGGAGGTTGGCCACTTTCATGTCCGCATTTATGGTGTCCTGCCAGCGCTGTTTTGGCCTTCCTCTCGGCCGTTGACCATCAACTTCAAATCGATATGCAACAGCAGCGATGGTATCACGCTCGGCTCGCAGAACGTGGCCATACCACTGAAGCCGCCTCTCTTGCATCTTCTCGGCGATCGGGCGACACCCATCTGGCATCGAATCACGTCGTTACTGATTCTGTCGAGTCGTGAAATGCCCATTGACATCCGCAGCATTCGCATTTCCATGGCGTGGAGTTGGCGCTCAGCACTTTTGGTAGCTGGCCAGCATTCGGATCCGTATGCCACGGGTCGAACCATGGTCCGGTATATCTTTGACTTCAGGCGAAGAGGCATGCGCTTATCACATAGCACGCCAGTGATCTCTCTCATCCATGCCGCGTTGACTCTCATTCGTATCTCATCATCGACACCTCCTGTACTCTGCAAGCGGGACCCTAGGTACTAAAAGACATCGTTTTCGGTAAGTCTTCGCCTTCCACTTTGATCGTGCCTTCGCTAGGGTCAGTTTCCAAGTATTCCGTTTTCCTGATGTTGAGACGAAGGCCATACTGGCTTAGACGGTCACTCCATGCTTGTACTTGACGCTGCAGTTCCTCCCTACTGACGTCCGCTAGGAGAACATCGTCAGCATAGAGCAAAGTCCATGGAGCAGCGTGTTGCAGATCTCGTGTGAGTGTGTCCATGATGAGGATGAATAGCAATGGCGAGAGGGCCGAACCTTGGTGAACTCCAACTTTTATTGGAAAGCTCTTAGATAAACCCGCAGCACATCGGACTCGACTGGTGGTGTTCATATACAGCATTCGAATCCAGTTGATAAGTGCTTCGGGCACTCCATGCTCGCGTAGCGCATACCAGATTAGTTGGTGGGGAACGCGATCGTAAGCTTTCTCGAGATCCAAGAAAGCTATATGAAGTGGTTTCCGCTTTTCCCGATGCTTCTCCATGAGTGAGCGAGCGGCAAATATTGCATCGGTTGTTCCTCGTCCTTTCACGAAACCGCACTGGTTGTTGCTCAAATCGATGATGTCGCGCAACCGTTGATCGAGGATTCGCTCGAAGATCTTCATGGTGTGCGAAAGCAAGCGTATAGGGCGGTAATTAGAGCACTCGGCCGGATCTCCCTTGTTCTTGAAGATTGGCACAGTAATGCTCGTAGCCCATTCACTGGGTGCCCGGCCTGAATCAACAATTGCATTTATGAACTGTGTGAGCCACGGAATTTTCTCGCATCTCCTTCATTTTCCAGACTTCTGCCGGTATGTTGTCTGGCCCTGGCGCTTTTTGATTCTTCATGCTGTCGATCGCCTTGGTAACCTCTCGACTGTGATGCGTTGCACTGGACCGGCGGTTGGCGGACCTTCTGGAATTGGCGGGTGTGCGAACTCCACGTTGGAAATCTCGTTGAAATGTTCCCACCAGCGATGCAGTATCTTTCGTCTACTATGCAGCCGCTCTCCATTGGAATCCTTCACGCACATGTAGTGCTCAACGTCCTTCGCTGCTTGGGCCCGTGCTTTCGCCAGTCTGTAGATGTTTTTCTCACCTTCCTTGGTACCTAGCTGATCGTATAGGCCCCGGAAATGTTCCGCTTTGGCTACGGCCACGGACCTCTTTGCCTCTCTTCTAGCGGTGGTATACTTCCTCCAGTTCTCGTTTTATGCGAAAAACAGGTTTTGTAGGCAGCCTTCTTT